AAGCTCTGAAAGTACTGACCTCTTGTTGAGATACCTGAAACAATCTCAATTGTTTGACAGAAAGAAAAAAAATAGTTATATTTAGTTATAGTTACAGTATATTTATTTATACTTATGGATACAATTTTATTTTATTTTTTGAGTGCCATTCCAGTTTACACTCCAAACCAGCAAGTGGCGGTAAAGCTTCAAAAATGTGTCTGCCGACTGCCAAATAAAAGCTAAAAAGAAGAAGAAGAAGAAAAAGAAGAAGTTTTTTTTAAACAAAACTTTATTTACACAATAATTTAACAGAGCAATGTTAAAAACAATCAGGACAAGCTTAAAATAAGGTATTTAGTTTTGGAGCTTGTTGTATTGTAGTTCTCCCTTATCAGAAATGTTGTGTAAAAACCTTCTTAAATCCTAACAGTTTCATAAAATTCTCCATGTGTCCAGTGTCTCTGTGGAAGCAAAATTCCAACTCCAGTCTGTCCTTGACAATGCACTTCCACAGAGCTATGGCATTAAGTTAAGGTCCAGCCTGTAGTCTGTCCCTACGAGACAAGTAAATAGCCATTTTTACTTTGGCAACTAAAAAATTTAAAGTTTGGGATTTAAGCTTAGTGGCTTTGCTGTAATGTTCAACCATCTATCCATCCATCCATTATCTTCCGCTTGTTCCGAAGTCGGGTCGTGGGGGCAGCAGCTTGAGCAGGGAGGCCCAGACATCTCTTTCCACAGCCACCTCTTCCAGCTCTTCTGGGGGGACCCCAAGACATTCCCAGGCCAACCATGAGACATAGTATCTCCAGCGTGTCCTGGGTCGTCCCCGGGGTCTCCTCCCAGTCGGACATGCCCGAAGCACTTCCCTAGGGAGGCATCATGGGGCCATCCTTACCAGATTCCCGAACCACCTCAAATGGCTCCTCTAGATGTGGAGGAGCAGCGGTTCTACTCCAAGTATCTCCCGGATAACTGAGCTTCCCACCCCATCTCTGAGAGAGAGTCCAGCTATCATGCGGAGGAAACTCATTTCAACTGCCTGTATTTACAATCTCATTCTTTCGGTCACTACCCAGAGCTCATGACTATAGGTGAGGGTAGGAACGTAAACTGACCGGTAAACAGAGAGCTTTGCTTTACAGCTCAGTTCCTTCTTCACCACAAGGGACCAGTACATAGTCTGCAATACAGCAGACGCTGCCCCAATCAGTCTGCCAATCTCATGCTCCATTCTTCCCTCACTCGTCAAAACCCTGAGATACTTGAACTCCTCCACTTGAGGCAGAACCTCACCCTCGACCTGAAGAGTGCAATCCACCCTTTTCCAGTTCAGGACCATGACCTGAGATTTGGAGGTGCTGATTCTCATCCCAGCTGCTTCACACTCTGCTGCGAACCGCTCCAGTGAGAGCTGAAGATCATGGCACGATGATGCCAACAGGACCACATCATCTGCAAAGAGCAGATAAGGAATCCTGAGACCACCGAACCGGAAACCCTCCGCCAACTGGTCGCACCGAGAAATTCTGTCCATAAAAGTTATGAACAGAATCGGTGACAATGGGCAGCCCTGGCGGAGTCCAAGTCTCACCCTGAAGGGGTCCGACTTACTACCAGCAATGCGAACCAAACTCTCGCACCACTTGTATAGAGACCGAACAGCCTGTAACAAATGGACCCCCAACCACATACCCACGGGCCCCCCCCCCCCCCCCCCCCCCCCACACACACACACACACAGTGTACCCCAAGGAACACGGTCAAATGCCTTCTCCAAGTCCACAAAACACATTTAGACTGGATGGGCAACCTCCCATGACCCCTCGAGGACTCTAGTACAGGTAAAGAGCTGGTCCAGTGTTCCACAGCCAGAATGGAACCTGCATTGTTCCTCCTGGATCTGAGATTCGTCCAACTATCGAACTTGCTTCTCCAGTACCCCTGAATAGACCTTACCGGGAAGGCTAAGGAAAGTGATGCATCTGTAATTGGAGCACACCGTCCGGTCCCTCTTTTTGAAGAGGGGAACCACCATCCCAGTCTGCCAATCCAGTGGCACTGCCCCAGATGTCCACGCAATGTTGCTGGAATGTACACCATTAATAAAAACAGTGGTGAAAACTGTGTCAAAAAAGCTAAAAATCCTTGTCATTAGATTAAACAGAACCGTCAGCCATACACAATCCATAAAAACATGAAAAACACTCTCAGACAAACTGCAAAAGGGACACTCATTTCAAACCTCAGGATTGATCACTGACGAAAAAGAGTTTGCTACAATGGTGCCATGAAGAAAACTCCACTGGAGATCGCTTTGTCTGAGTTTTGTAAAGAGTTCTCCACTGGGTCTTCTGCCCTCCGAGAAGTGAGCTCACAAAGGACCCCAGGGTAACTTCTAAGCAACTGAAGCCCTCTCTCACGTTGGCTAATGTTCATGAGTCCACCATCAGGAGAACACCAGATCTGGTGTATCTGAACACCAGAGACTGAAAGCAAAGGTTCACATACAAAGTACTTTTGCCACGCACAAATACGTAACATCGGATTATTTCCCTCAATAAATAAATGAGCAAGTATAATATTTTTGTCTCATTTGTTTAACTGGGTTATCTTTATCTACTTTTAGGACTTGTGTGAAAGTCTGATGATGTTTTAGGTCATATTTATGCAGAAAGATAGAACACTCTAAAGGATTCACAAACTTTCAAGCACCACTGTATAGCTGCAGAAAAATAATAAGTATCCAACTTTGGAAAAAAATACCCAACATATCCAGCATCCGAACAAATTTATTAAAGTAAACTTAATAATTAGACCAACTTGTTGGAAAATTATTTGGGACTGAATGGTTTCCTTTAATTTGTGATGTGTACACGATTGCACTTTGTTTGTTTTCACCCATCAAAAATGTTTAATTTTCTGATGAATTTCAGAGGAAGATATCACTTTGGTTGCAAGTTACCCTAATTGAATGAAGTAGCTAAGAAACTTTTAGCACAAATAAATTGATCTGTTTTACTTTTTGTCACAGACATTTCATTTACACATTTGCATAAAGTTGGGCAAGAAAACTACTAGAATTTGTATTTGTGTTAGTAAACCTATATTGTATTTAGTACAAGTAAATATATCCCTGAAGGAATACATTTTGCTAACTGACTTTTATTCCAGTTTTTCCACCAGTTTTTCATCTTCTGTTGGGAAATGAAGTTGTAGTTGTTGTTCAGTTGATTCTCAGCTTCTACCACATCAATCTATACCTCAGAATATGACAATAAGCCCAAGTTTATTTGATTCTGCTTGTGCTTAAAGTATGTTAGGGATGATTCTCAGCTGTATAAACACAAAATTTCCGCTCATTATCTGTAATATAGGAGGCTATCAGTATCTGGGGGAGTGGTGGTGCAGAGGTTAGAGAAGGTGGGTTGAACTTGCCAGTTCAACTCCTCGGACTGACAACATCAAAATATGAGTGAGAAAGGTGAAGCACCCACACCTGCCTCCACACTCATTTATCCCATTCTGGGCTCTTGAGCAAGGCCCTTAACGCCCACCCTCTGCTCCCCTGGGCACTCTAGATAGCAGCTCTCTGCTCCACACAGAGGGCTGTGGTAGCTCGGTGGTCTGTGGTTACATCAGGAAGGGCATTTGGTGTAAAAACCATTGCCAAATCTTTGTAGGAGTTAATTCACTGTGGTGACACCTGAGGAAGGGACCAGCCGAAAGAAGGGAAAAATATTGTAAAATCATCAGAGTTACAGCCATTTTTTTTTGTTTTGATTGCTTATTCATTCTGCTGTATTCATTCATACCCATCTGCTCACCACAGACTCATGTTCGGTCTGCTGTTGTTATTACGCCGTATTGTTTTGCATTATTAGTGTTTAACGGGGCGGCTGTGGCTGAGTGGTTAGAGCAGTCGTCCTCCAATGTGAGAGTTGTGGGTTTGAATCCACCAGCAGTCACATGTCAAAGTGTCCCTGGGCAAGACACTGGACCCCTCATAGCCTCTGATGTGTGTCCCATCGGTGTATGAATGTGATAAAGCTCTGATTAGTCTCTTTAGAATGATTTGTTCATTTAGCTTTGTACAGATCTAGTATAGAGCTGTATGAATGGGTCAATGAGGACACAGGTTGTAGTTTAAAGTGCTTTAATTGTCTTGATAAGATAGAAAGGCGCTATATAAGTACTGTACAGTCCATTTACCACATATGATGAAATGACAATAAACTTACTTGAACTTGAACTGGAACTCAGCTGTGGCAGCCATCTTAAATTAGACTGACTCAAAAGTTAATTTCTTCATGTACATCCTATGATTATGTTTTAGTTGCTTTAAAATTTATCCAGTGGTTCATGCGATACGACAGACAAACACACACACATGTACAAAAACATGACCATTTCACTTTGAGAGGCAGGCAGTAAGCGTTATGTGTTGTGGTTGTACGTTTAAATTGTTTTGTTTTTTTTATTGTATTTTGGCCAAAGCTACAAAGACTCCTGGCATCTGTGCCCCAACAATGAAACCTCTTTCAAGGCCACTTAGATCATTTCCTCTGAACAGACAGACACAAATCTGAACTGAGCTTGACCTGCACAGCATTGTTATACATACTTGAATAATATCTACACTAAACAGTGCATTGACGTACATTTATTGTATTCGCTACTGTTTATTTATTTATTTTTTACAAGGTTTTACTTTTAATTTGCACTCCTTGGCATTTTTATTGAAGCGGTTTGTTTGTGTAACTTGTCAAACTCTGGCCCTGACCCTCGTAATTGGTCAAGGTTGTAATTCTATCGGCAACAGAAATAATTGTTCACACACACACAGAATGAGAGTTACATTTGGGAACATTTTCTCTCAGAGTTCTGTACTTTCTGTCTGTAGAACAGTGCAACATTGTGCATAAATGTGTTCATTCGACAAATCCCACAGCGATTAAACATTAACTTTCAAGAGGAGGAGCCCCTGCACTCCCCAAGTCAATCTCTCTGTAGGCTTTGATGACCCGAAGTGAAAGAAACACAACATGACATCAGGCAGAGGTAAGATGCATACATTTTTGTGTGTTTTTAAAAAAAAAATTATGTTCTTAGTGGCATTGTACTTTCAAACAAGACAGTGTATTTTCAGTAAGTATAACTCGTCATATTGTTCATTAATATGTGCTCTTAATTCTTGCGTTTGCTTTGCTTATTATTTTGAATTGAAAAAGGTGTCAGATGCAAATTAGCTCATAAGTGGCATGGTCTGGACTCTGAATGGAACAAATAAATTATTTAATTTCAGTTAGTTGGATCTAAACCTTCAAGCTGGTTAAAAGGCAAAGAATACAGTATATTTGTGCGGATGTGACACTTTATCAATCGTATGTTCAAGCAAAACGTTATTACTGTTGTTGTGCAGTATCAAACAAACCTTCCAGAAGGACTCTGAAAAAAGCTCACGGTGGGAAAGACAAACGGCGACCCACTAGCTGAGCAGAGGTGCCTGTCGAGGGGGACACAGCTGGATTTTCACTGACAGAGCATGTTTGATACGTGGCATCGAGCTGTCTATCGTGCTGTTTTATTGCTCTGCGTCAGAGAAACAGATGTGGTAACCTGCAAAGATAAAACTCTGTCACAAGTTAGAGGTTATTGACAGCTCAATGTGACAGCAGCTGGAGGGTTTTCACAGGTAATGCCTGCAAACATGTGGTAGTAGCAGAGAGTCGCTCACAACACATGGGACGTTTTGTGACATTGCATGAGATAGCAGATAACTTTATTTTCAATGGATGCCTAAATTGCCTACACATTTGTCATTTCTTAGCATAAAATAATCTTGACCAAAACCTCAGACATGAAAGGGAATCAGCCATGTATATTCCTTCAGGGAATGCTTGGCCTTTAATGAGATGTGTTTTAATTTAAGGTGGACATGATCCGCTTGCTCTTGTCATTTCCCAACAACTGCAAACTCCCAACAGCTCAGAGTAACTGGCTGTTTTCATACAAGGCAATAGCTGATTAATTCCAGTTTTTCACACAAAATATCAACTATCTCTCTACTAATTATTTTGAGGGATTAGTTATGAATCTCTGCTTATCTCTTCTGTTGTTTTCTTCTCTTCACTTTAGCTCAAGACAAATAAAACATGATCTCAAAAAGAGAGCCTTGCTGCATAAATGATGAATAAAGAAAAAAATCTGATAGTGCAAATGTCTATCCATCCATTATTTTTACCCGCTTTTTCCTTATTGGGTCACTGGTGCCCATGTCCATTTATCACTGTGTGAGAGACAGGGGACACCCTGGACAGGTCTCCAGTCCATCACAAGGACACATAGAGACAAACGAGACAAACAACCATTCACTCTCTCACTCACACCTAGAGACAATTCAGAGTTATCATCAGTCTAACATACATGTTTTTGGTCTGTGGGAGGAAACTGGAGTACCCAGAGAAAACATATGCATGCACAGAGAGAACATTCCACCCAGAAAGACCCCGGACAGGGATTTGAACTGGTAACCTTCTTGCTGTGCCGCCCGGTAAACAATGTTTAAAATGTCCAAGTCACTTTGATCTTTAAAGCTAACCTATTAAATTAAATTTTATAGGCTTCGTTTTGAAAGTGCTGCCTGACAAAGTGCCCTTGCTCGGACCACCATTGTGTCAGTGCAAAACGACCCATTATTCCCACAAAACCTGCACCAGTGTCCCATATGTCCTGATGCAATATTGACATTCTGTTATGATTAAGTCTGGCTCTCAAGGTTCATATTTTTGTGATAGTTTTCGTTGCATATTGGTGTTCTCGGTGTTTATTTCTGTCCTAATTTAAAAAGGCCTGTGCCATGAATGTTGTCTCTCTTACCGTCTTGTTTTTCCTTTTTCATTTTATAATTAAGAGTTTTTTCTCCGCCTATGAAATGGCATTAGGATCCTATAGTCACATTTCATGACCATCTTCTAGTTAACCCTTCATTTTGTTAGACTTGAACTGTATAAAAACACATTCAGGTGTTTTATTGATGTTCTAATGAAACTTTAATGGATTAAATGTTTTGTAGTTTTAAAGGGGGCAAAGATTGCAGATAATGAAACCAAACCAAACCCTGTTTTATTACACCTCAGTTGATCATTAGTCAGCAGAAATGTCCTCCGATGTTCAGACAAGACTTTTGCTGTTTAGACTTTGAGTTAATCAGATTGAACGACAGCCCTAAGTCATTACAGTTTACCATATTAGGATCAAAATGTACTGATCGTGTGTATTCAGTGTTGCAAGTTGTATAATTTTACAAAAGCAGATTAAAATTCATGTGGAAACTCTTTTACGTGCGAGTCCTTATCTAAGCATCTAGAAAAGTGTAGATAATAACATTTATGTTATGATTTTTATGCTGCCAAAGTCATTTACCTCACATGTTGTCTTGTTTTTCATGGTGTGGTGGAAGGCGTCACGTTAACAGAGTAAGTTTTTTTTTTTTGCATACATACTGATTTTAACTACCTTTATTGTTAAACTATTACTTCAAAATGTAAATCCAGTTGGTCTTGAACTAATTTGCACTTAAATACATGTATTGTTTTAATAGAATTAGGTGAATAACTTTTGACCAGCATTGAATTTTTATGCTTTTAGCATTATACAAAACATTAGTTTCTTAACAGCTGAATGTTATTTTAATTAACAGAAGGTAAAAATGATGTGTGTCAGAGATAAGGCAGATACTGTACTGTTATTTGCGATGTGTGCTACTGAACAACACAATAAACTGGAGTACAGTAACGACAAACCAATTAGTGTGGATGTTAAAATAATTACAAAATACATAATTAAAAATTTGAGAAATAGAAACATTGCAAGAGGTTTAAAGTTGACATTTTGTACATGGACCTCCCTTGCACAAGAGATCTGTGCTCTCATGGGATTTGCCTGCTTAAATAAATGTTAATAATAATGAAGAAAAATGGAGTGTTTTATTTCAAAATAAATCTTCATCCAGTCGGTTTTCATTTTATGTTACTGAAGATGTTTTTGCTCTTATCTTTAAGGAAATTTACACAAAATCCAAAAGAAGGAATAGATAACCCAGCGATGGTCTTCACAGACTGCACAGGTATCCTGCCTGCTTTATATGATACAGTGTCTTGTGAAAGTATTCAGCCCCTTGAACTTTTCAACCTTTTGCCACATTTCAGGCTTCAAACATAAAGATATAAAATTTTAATTTTTTGTGAAGAATCAACAACAAGTGAGACACAATCGTGAAGTGGAATGAAATTTATTGGATGTGTCAAACTTTTTTGACAAATAAAAACTGAAAAGTGGGGCGTGCAGTATTATTCGGCTCCTTTACTTTCAGAGCAGCAAACTCAGTCCAGAAGTTCAGTGAGGATCTATGAATGATCCAATGTTGTCCCAAATGACTGATGATGATCAATAGAATCCACCTGTGTGTAATCAAGTCTCTGTATAAATGCACCTGCTCTGTGATAGTCTCAGGGTTCTGTTCAAAGCGCAGAGAGCATCATGAAGACCAAGGAACACACCAGGCAGGTCCGAGATACTGTTGTGGAGAAGTTTAAAGCTGGATTTGGATACAAAAAGATTTCCCAAGCTTTAAACATCCCAAGGAGCACTGTGCAAGCAATCATGTTGAAATGGAAGGAGTATCAGACCACTGCAAATCTACCAAGACCCGGCCGTCCCTCTAAACTTTCATCTGGAACAAGGAGAAGACTGATCAGAGATGCAGCCAAGAGGCCCATGATCACTCTGGATGAACTGCAGAGATCTACAGCTGAGGTGGGAGAGTCTGTCCATAGGACAACAATCAGTCGTACACTGCACAAATCTGGCCTTTATGGAAGAGTGGCAAGAAGAAAGCCATTTCTCAAAGATCTCCATAAAAAGTGTTGTTTAAAGTTTGTCACCTGGGAGACACCAAACATGTGGAAGAAGGTGCTCTGGTCACATGAAACCAGAATCCAACTGTTTGGCCACAATGCAAAACGATATGTTTGGTGTAAAAGCAACACAGCTCATCACCCTGAACACAACATCCCCACTGTCAAACATGGTGGTGGCAGCATCATGGTTTGGGCCTGCTTTTCATCAGCAGGGACAGGGAAGATGGTCAGAATTGATGGGAAGATGGATGGGGCCAAATACAGGACCATTCTGGAAGAAAACCTGTTTGAGTCTGCAAGAGACCTGAGACTGGGACAGAGATTTATCTTCCAACAAGACAATGATCCAAAACATAAAGACACATCTACAATGGAATGGTTCACAAAGAAACATATCCAGGTGTTGGAATGGCCAAGTCCAAGTCCAGACCTGAATCCAATCCAGAATCTGTGGAAAGAGCTGAAGACTGCTGTTCACAAACGCTCTCCATCCAACCTCACTGAGCTCCAGCTGTTTTGTAGGAAGAAT